CATGGTAAAAGGTTTTGCACTTGGTTGTAGACAAGTTGAAATGGAAGAACGGGATCGGTTGATTCTGACTCACCGGAGTTCTTACACAGACTCTCACAGAACGTTGGACACGGAGCCAGAAGTTCCACACACAAGTACAGCGGTCTTCAAGTTTCGGGAACGTCGTCGATCTACCATATTCAATAATGACAGCATTACATTGACGTGGAGTGATATCTCTGTCACAAGACAGGACCCAACAGCGGAACCATCTCTCTGGCAGCGAATTATGAGACAACGAAATACCGAATTCTCCGATAGCCGAGTTAATACTACGAGCAGGTATGACTTTATATTGAGACGTGCACCCATTTTCAAAAAGGTGTTTCGCCTACGTCAATTTGAATGTTGTATAGGCGCCTGGATTTCCTATATACATTACATATGGAACTTCTTGCGCTGGAGACAGTATGACATAACGTGAATACCCGTGAAAGAAGATGTATTGTATAAAGTCAGTATGCCCTACCTGAGTGTTCCTTTGGAGGTCAATGTGAGGCTGACATGCGAAAACACAACTGTGTCAGCAACTAATGATTAATGTCAATTCGACCTTTTACCTTGCGCCAGTGCACTAAAATTCACACCCACTTCGTTCGGGTGGTGATTACTTCACACGACACAATATGTGAGTAAATGAAAAAATCCATATATGTTTTTCCAAGCCATAATAAGATAGATAGACAATCTGACAGTTTATTGCTTCATTAATTAGCATAACATTGCGTAAAATGATATCATGGTATATATTTTGTAAATTATTTACCAAACCATATTTGACAAATTATGCCTAAACATGTAAATTTGAGCTCAGTTCGCTAATGACGTCATTGTTTATTGGCCATGTTTCATCATGTCATCAATATTCAACAGTAGTATTTTTTGTCTTTATATTTGCATGGTATACTTCATGAATCTCTTCCTTGATAATTTCTCATAGCAGGTGTCTGCACACACAAACAAACCATTCATTTCAGTTAAAGTGAGAGGGTCGTCACCTGCGCACGCGCGGGAATTGAGTCCCAAGCGACGATAACAACACACGCTAAAAACGCAAAGGCTCATGGGTAGAAGCTTGTTTGTAAACAATTACACGCTATGGCCATCTGACGCATGCGCAGGTGACGACTCCTTCGCTTTAACATTTGTTATTGTGAAGGTAATATATGACGAGAACCGGCAAGGCTGTGCATCAAGATATCACATGCACGGCTGGTAAACCCACCAACCAGACCCATTCAATATCTATGTCAAATCACAAATAAAACAAAATGACTTGTAAAATGAAATTGTACAAGTACGAGGTATATACTAGTATTGTTAGGGATATAACGCCTCGCCCAGTACCAGTACTATTACATTACCCAGGTATGTTGACATGTTTAATAAATATTATCAAAAGTTACAAAAAAGTAAATAAATGCTCAATGACGAGTACATATTAACGGGCAAAGTACGCCTGTCAATCACCGACAGTTTACAAGGTAAACGAGTTCAAACCAGAGAGTGCGTTTGTTTTCACCACGAGTATGCGTTCTTGGCAATACCATTTATAAAAGTTGTTGAACGGGTGAATAGAAGATTTTTCAAGGTAGCATTTTATATATTTACAGACATTGGCGGGTGTGGCCTGAAAGTAAATCACCCAACACAACAGATGGCATTCCCCTTTGTCTGACCAGCCTTGATAAATATATCTAAAAAATATCCTATTGTCGGATATTTTCTAGCAAATATTTCACTGCTCCATTCCTTGCTTTCATTTGTCGAATCATGTCTTGTTACAAGATAGTGTCATTTGCATCGTGCTATTTTCACGTGTGCT